GTGTGTGTGTGTGTGTGTGTGTGTGTGTGTGTGTGTGTGTGTGTGTGTGTGTAGAAAGGAATGCTGGACACATGCTTCTCCTGGTCAAAGAGACCATGTCCTGAGAGGACAGGAGGCCCCACCCCCAGCAGCTGAGTTAGAGAAGTCTACAGCCTAGCTCCTAGCTAGACCTCAGTCTGACCTCTAACCCTAAAAACTTCTGCTTAGGCCTGGGGTGGCTCAGCCGTTCAGAGTACTAGCTGCTCTTTCAGAGGACCCGGGCTGAGTTCCTAGCACCCAAACCATGGCCTGCATCTAGTTCCAGAACATCCAGTATCCTCTTCTGGCCTCCACAGGCACTGCATGCACGCGGTGCACAGAAATACATGCCGGCAAAACACCCACACACCTGAAACAAAAATAGCTACATCTTTAAGAAAAGAAAATGGGAATTCTGCTCAGTTACCAGCAAGGGAGGAACCCTGAGTAGAAGGAGTCAGGAAAGCCAACAGGCAGTCCACAGAAAGAACCTGAGGGGCCAGAAAGCCACTGGTCCCCTTGGCTTCTGAATAGCCCCACTGGATTGAAAAGTCACATAGTATCCGATGCTAAGGTTGCTGCTGCTGATGTGGGCATTCCTTCACACTGTGTCTAAGAGTGTGACCTGGAACAGCCACTCTGAAGAACATGGTGCCAGTATCCACAAAATGGCCCAGTGATTCACCCGAGAGAAGTTCTCACATAGAAACACGAGAGCACAGGTGCAGGGATGTCCATGTGGGCTTTTTGGTGCTTCCTTGGAATTCCAGCACTCAGAAGGAGAGGCAGGAGGGTTTCCAGTTCAAAACCACCCTGAGTTATATAGGGAGACTCTATCCAAAGAAGAGAAGGTGGAGTTTGGAACATTCGTTGTCAAAAGCCAGAAAATATGCGCCCATAAAGATATCAAGAACTTTAAAAAGTAAAAGTACTGAATACATAATTGAACTGAGTCAAGTATGCATAATACACATATATGCACTCATGCAATCTCCAAGCAAAGTTTTAAAAGCATCAAAATTATGTACCGATACATACACATGAAACAACTTAGTTAAAAGCATAAGAACACACAAAATGGTACCACTAGAGTTTGCAGTGTGTAGGAAGCTGACTGCGGCGAAAGCTACCTTGGGGAGAAAGGAATGGCCTAGGATAAAGAAGCAAACTGGTAAATGGCTTGTCTTGTTAAAATGAAATCCGATTTCTTTTTATACAGAGAAAGGATTTCAGAGATAAGAGACCAAGTGTCACAGCACCAATTTGTTTTGTTTTGGTTTTGAGACAAGGTATTTTTTTGGTGTAGCCTTGGCTATCCTGAACTCGTTTTGTAGACCAGGCTGCCCTTGAAGCTCTCAGTGACCCACCTGCCTCTGCCTCCCAGAGTGCTGGGATTACAGGCATGCGCCATCAAACTGGCTGCAGCATCGATTCTTCATCCCGGCCAGCAGAAGAAACTATCTTGTGATGCCCTTGTGAGTATTTTCACTTTAATGAGGAGAAATGGAAAGGAAGGAGGAAGGAAGAAAGGGAGGAATGCAAACAAGAAGAGAAGGAGAAAGGAAGGAAAAGAA